GCTTTAGATCCAGCAAAAGATCCTTGCCTAAAGATGAAATGCAGTCGCCATAAAGTATGTATTTCTCAGGATTCTCAGACTGCAGTCTGCATTAGTCACCGGAGGCTGATACACAGGTAAATATTGTTACACTGAACACTACTGAAATAGCAGGACTGCTTGTCACAACTCAGGGCAAAGTAGAGGTTTTTCAATGCCTGCTAAGCTTTCTGCAGTGTTATTGAAACAGTTTCAGTAGATTTGTTAATACAATGATAATCCACTAGGATTAAATATTGTTATACATCATAATTATATGAATTATTAAATTTACACATATATTATTGAACAATGCAGGTGATGTGAAGATCCTAATATATGTGATATGTTAATGTTTGTGAGTTTTTATATTTAAGGAATAATTATAATTTTGTCATCTTCTGAATGTGCTTTACTTGTGCTTCCTCAAAAAACTCAGTTTTCTTCTGGGAAGTTAGAACTATAATGAAAGCGGAAGAAATGAATTTATACATGTACTGATGTTTGTAAAAAAAATTGATTCAAATTTACGAAACACATATTTTGCATGAGCACTCCCAACATTCTCCAGGGAATGCTCCTTAAGAGGCACTCAAGGGCCAGGGAGATAGCTCTGCAGTCTAAGCGTCTGCCTGGCAAGTGCAAGGACCCAGGTTCAATCCCCGGTACCACACGCAGCGTGGGCCCCGTGCCAAGTCAGCCACCAAAGTCAGGCATGATGGTGCATGCCTGTGACCACAGTGTTGGGGAAGCTGAGGCAGGAGGATCACTATGACTCTGAGCTGAATGGCAAGATCCTGTAACAAATAAGCAAATAAATCTAAAAAACAACAAAAGAAGCACTCAAAATAAGGGTAAAATAAATCTTAAATAAAAAATCCAAAAGAAGCACTCAAAATAAGGGTTGATTCCTAGAATTTGTCTTCTCCAGTTCACACAAGATTCTAAGAAAGAAAGGAGGATTTTAAGGATCTTTTATAGCAGTTTTCATTGTTGTTATGTAGCCTGTGTTTGAAGAAGTATCCATAATTTTAAAAAAGGGTATGGTCCACTCAAGAAATGCTAATAAAAAACACACTGAGTTTCCATCTTACCCCAGAAAGAAGGCCAGCATCAAGGTGTGAAACAATATCAAATGCTAGTGAGGTTGTGGAAAAAGGAAATCCTCCTACCCTGTTGGTGGGAATGTAGACTGGTACAACCACTGTGGAAATCAGTACTGGTAGTCCTCAAAAAATTAAAACCAAAATTTATTTGGCACACCTATTTCCCTTTTGGATATTTTCCCAAAAGTATTAAAGGCATTAAAGAAATACATAAAAACACATATTTATAGAACTACATTCATAATAGCTAAATATTGCTAGACAAATGGATAAAGAAAATGTGGTATTTAAATACAATGGAGTTCTACTGTGCCAGAAAGAAGGACAAATGAAACATTTGTGAGAAAATGGATACACCTTTAGACCATCATGTTAAGTGAAATAGATTAGATACACAAGCTTAAATATCACATGGTTTCTTTTATGAGAAACCTTAGAGAGAAATTATGAGCAAAATAAATGATAGATTTGGAAACAAGGAGATAGCTCATTCTCAAAGGAGAGGGGGATTAAGGCATGGGGTGTCAGGGAAAGGAAGGATAAGATAATGGTTAAAAAAAGGTAATTGCTATGTGTTATGTACCAGTACTAAATCCATGCAATGAATCTAAACCTCATGTACCTCAAAGGTATAGAAAAGGGAATGAGATCAAAGTGTAGGTGGAAGAGGAGGGGGAAGTAATGGGCACTGAAGAACGGAATTAAAATGTTTTGCAATTGTATCAACTTCCTGGAGGTGTGTCAATGGTGTGTAATGCACATGCGTGCGCATGAGTTAACTAACAAATCACTAAAAAAGGAAGCCTATAAAGTTTGGTGGCTAGAACCAAGGACCAAAATGTGCCATGATCCACTGTCAGAGTGTTGGGTACCTAGCTGAAGCTAACAGATGCATTAATTTCCTTAATTTTATTACTTTTAGAAGGAGCCACTGTTGAAGAAAACTTGTTGAGATAGTGGATTCCATCAGTGTATCATTGTTAGTGAATACATTTTGCTATTTGGGCATTTTCAGGAATAATTGGACTTTTGTAAATTTGTGTAAACCCTGTTGTCACAATGCACTGGCAGAGAAAATTAGAACATTAGAGACTGACATAAGTGGAATTCCTAAAAAATGGTACAAACTTGTTTTACCAATGTTCATTATTGATATAAAATCATTATATATAAAAATTGCTTTTATGTGTCAAATGGATTTGAAGTATTTATTCCGTAACATCGTATCTACGGTGATACAAGTCGGGTACCAAGGCAGGTGAGTACAGTACAGGTAGAGAACTTTGGTACATATTCCCTTGACACAAAGAACAGTGATGTACCATCAGTGTAAGCGCAACAGAAAGATAGGGAGGAGAGCACAATTTGGGGACGTAGAGAGTAAAGGGCTTTCTGGAAATCACTTATATAATGTCACTGTGCTCTGAAGAGACACAGAAGTGGAGCTACAGAAATGCATCACCAAGGAGCAATGATTTGTTTTCATCTGCACATACAAACACCCGTGGAACTGTTGGTGAGCCACTGTGTCCTAATGTCCTGAATCCAAGTCAGAGAGAAGCCAAAGACCCAGCACTTGATAGCAGAACTGTGCAGAGACTCACTTCTGTTCACATTTCATGAACAGAGAAGACAGTAAACACTCATGTCGCCAGTTCAAGGTCACAAAGTTAGGAATCTTGGGACAATAGATTTCAATCACTCCTTACTGAAACCAGAGTCAGTGCTTTTTTATAACCATTTCCTCTCATTGTTTCTCTCTCTTATTGTTGAAGGAAGATTTTACACCCAAACTGAAACTTTTTCAACATGGTGCAGAATTGTCAGGGAGCAATTGCCAAAATATCATTTAACCTATGTGGGTGAAGCGTCCTGCATACAGAACCACTGGCAGCTTTACTTTTAGTATAAAGCTAAAAATGGAGGTCTGGATGACTCTAGTGTTTAATGCATTTCAAAATGCCTTACAGAATTCACATTTAGTCTTCTTCTGTTACTGGCAGACATATTTAAGACTTTGCCGTCAACACTGGGCATGATAGTCCACCCCTGTAGTTTCATGTACTCAGCCTAAGGCAGGGGATCATCTGAGTATACAAAGTTGGAGACAAGACTGGTGAGAACTTGTCTGAAACAAGTCCATAGATTCTTCAATAAATAAATAAATGGCTTTCAAAGAATTGATATGAATGTGAATATTTTATCTGCTTTATTTGCTTTGAGAATGTTAGTACATAGTGATTCTCGACACGCTTAGGAAAGAAGAGCTTTATCAAGCAGTTTGATCAGTAAAGAGATCTAATAAGTAATGTGCATAATCTCAGAGTTCTCCAGAGCTGAGGTAGAATATTTCCAATTTGGAGGCCACCCTGGATAACTTAGCAAATTTGTCAGACCCTGCCTCAAAATTTAAAATTAAAAGAAATACTAGGGATGCAGCTTAACTTAATGACCCTAAGTCACTCTTTTGGAATGAATGAATGAATGAATGAATGAATGAATGAGTGCTAACATGATTAATCTAGACTGTAAAATGAGAGGTGTGTTTGTAAATTGGCGTAGCATAATAAAATAGGAGAATACAGACTGAATTAATAAATTCTCATTTATCTTAGAATCTTGAATCTCTAATTTTATTGTTTAATAAATGTTATTTGATGCATCTAGATATCCCACCAGAGCCTCTGCTGTCATAGGTGGGGCTTTTCCAAGTTGGATCTAGAGCCTGTGATCCTTAGAAAAGGATGTGATGCTGGGGTTGATTCATGCTGCAGTGTTAAGATTAAGATTGACCCTCCCTCACGAGTGTTATCCACCTAGAGGAGAGGGGGGTACCCTGGACAAGAAGGATGAGACAGAAAGAGAGCTGCTGCTTTTCACTTGGTGCTTGCTGTTTTGCTTCTTTACTAGTTGGCCGCTTTCTGCCTACCATGAACTACTTATCCTGCCTTGGAGCTGGCCTGCTACGAATGGAAACATCTACGCACTGTGATGTAAATGAACCTTTCCTCCTTTAAGCTTGGTGGTACTTTACCTCAGCAAGGAGAAAAGTAAACAACACACTACATTTGTAATAATCTATCTTCAAATCTGCTTCGATTACCTGGAAAGTTCATGAATGTACAATCTGCAGGTATGCAGTGCCTTAGGATCAAGTGCAGCATCTATTTTCCTGTGGTAGTGTAATAAAATACCTGCAGTCTGAATAATATTTAGTGCTGAAAGCATTGAGAAGTAGTGTAGTGCTATCAACTGAAAGGGCCAACACAGCTCGTCTAGGTCTACAGTTTTCTGTCTGCCTTGTGCACATTGTTGAAAGAGAACCAGAAGCAATCAACAAATGTTTTCAAATAAATTTAATGGAGCAACGATCAAAACAATGGTTTGCAGAAAAAATGAAAAAGAATATAAAAATGTCAAACGTAGGAGGCTTTCAAAACAGTTTTAAGAAACCACTAGGTTTTCATTTAGATTTGTAAGTGATTGAACTAATTGGTACATTTCTATCTTCGTTAGTCATTACAAATAGTGTTATTTGTCTTCCACAATGACGGAAATCATATTATCAAGTATCTCGTCATGTATGTGACCTTAGCTTTGACCACTGCTGCCAACATGGAGGACAGTGTGAACTGTTCCGGCATGTCATTACCAAGTAATATAGTTGAATATTGTCTCCTAATAGATTTCTTTGTAAAGAGCTGGCCTCAAACGAGCACAGTACTCTCTTCTGGTAATTATTTTATTAACATTATCATCACTACATGAAACCAATTAGTCTTATGAATAATGAGAAAAAAATTTAACTGCATATTGTTATATTGTCATTTTTCAATATGACAATATAACAAATTACGTTGCTAGTTTAATATAAAATCTTCTATGACTTTTCCAGGCTTTGAATATGACACACTTTTTATTGTTATCTTGGGAAACATTTCTGAAGATGCTGAAATACAGGGGGTTCTTTGGTCTTGTTGTTTTGTATTGGG